GTTCTTGAGAGATGTTCTTAAAAAATATTTTGCAAAATGATGAATTTTTTTTTAATAAGAATACCAAACAGCCCTTAGCTTTTCGTTTCTCTTCGTATTTGGCCGTTCACTGCAATTATGATAAAAGAACTAACGACATAGATTTTTCATATATAAGAATCTTGTTCACCAAAAAAAAACAAGAATCTTTATGCGCCACTGATTCGCTGTATAGGAACCTGGTATAGAAGAGAACTATGGCAGATATTTTTCGCGCATGGATGTTACATATTCTATCCCAGGTTATCTACGGTTGTAATAGTTTAAATTTTTGGAGCATAAAAATGTAATTTACTCGAAATTTTTTGTACGAATCCTCGTACTTATTGTCAAGTAAGCATGCTAAAACATTGGTAATAATCTACAAGTTAGCACTCTTCAATCTCAATTTATCTGTTGAAAGATATTTTAAGTTCGAATATTTATTTATTAATATTGTATATATTTATTAAAAGAGATTAGAAGTTCGAATTTGGACAAAGAAATATTGCCTCGAACTCAAAACACAATGCATGCTGGTGCAGCAGGTCATATGCATAATGCATGTCATGTGCACAGAGAGACCTACTATTTTTTCTTTTTGCCAAATAAATGATATAATAAGGTAATGGTATCTACACATAGTTTTTTACATCTCACACGCTTCTCTTAATTTTCAGCCGTTGGCTTGAATGAATTGAAAAAGATCAAATTACAAAAATTATCAAAGGGTGTGTGAGAAGTAAAAAGTGGTGTGTAGATAGCAGCACCTTATATAAAATAGGATAGTCCTATTCACATACCCTTTTTTACATCTTACACATCCTTGTTAATTTTTGTAATTGATTTTTTACAATTCATGCGATCTAACCATCGAAAAAAATGTGAGAAGTGTATGAGACATAAAAATAGGTGTATGAATCACACTACTCCATATAATATTCCCCAACCTTATCCAGATAGATGCAGTAGTTCATTATAATTAGTAAGTTCAAAATTTCTCAGCATTTAATCTAACAATTGATGTCTAGGCCAGCAATTTACTAAATAGTTGTAAGAGCAAAACTCAAGTGCGACTATATTTTTTTCTTTCTGCTTCGCTCTTCCCTTCATTAGAAGAGCGTAGAAGAGATAAGCAGCAAGAAAATACGTCTCAAGTTATCAGCAAAAATCTTCCCCAATATCTTTCACCCGTAACTCTCTTCAGTCTCTCCGAGAGTACAAGGATCCATTGAGGATTTCCAAAAGCCCACCTTAGGTTACCACAAAAAAGGGGATAAAAATAAAAAAAGACAATGAATAATTTTTTCTTTTTGAAAAACTTTTATCTCCGCCACTCAGTATTACGATTCACAAATTCAAGAGAAAGGGTCCGGGAAGGGGCAAAGCCATGAGAGACACAAGGTCGAAGAAAGACTTTCACATCCAAAGCCAATTCCGGAAGCAGCAGAAATTGCCTTCTTCTTTGCTGCTACAGCAGAACCCTTAAAATCAAAAGAAACTTCTGTGGTTTTCCTCTTCATTTGAAATTGAGAGGTGTTAAGTTTGAATCTCGTAGATGACGAATTTGATACCAAATTAGGCTGTCCATTTTATGGCTTAGCCGAACTCCCCCTCATCTTAAGATAAAAATATCGATGTACTAAAAAAAAAAACTTTTATCTCCAAAATTAAACCAGTGAATAGGAGTAGGACAGACACATTGAGATTCCTCTCTATCCTCCAATTAGGCAGCCAATTATTCACAATCTAATTAAAAACTAAAATACAAGTTAAATGATCCAAATATCTCCATAATGTAATCCTCTCTACCCATTTTTCAAACCTTACAAACCCTAATTGCCTATTTTTGAAATGAGATTCTCTTCGGATTTTCTTTGTGAGGATATTGGAGATTCTCAAATCGTGTCAGTTCATCATACATCGTGTAGTCAATTTTCGTCAAGTATAGTTATATATAATTTTAAATAAAAATATTTAAAATAATTTCCAACATCATGATGTACGATAAACAAATATGATTTTAGGATTTCTAGAATTATCACAAAGTGGATTCGAAAAAGATCCACATTCCCATGAAATATGGTCGGGGCTGTGGCCCAATGTTTGTCCTGCCGTCCATCATTTCCTCTTATATATCATTATTATTATTATTATTTTTCGAAGAACTATCATTATATTCTTTGACCACCAAAGTCACACACTTTTTCTTTAGATATAATTTCTACACCCGTTTTAATTTCCAACACACTATTTTTTATTTCAGTCATTATATGAAATAAATATAATAAAAACAACGAACTAATTAAATATGAAAAGATAAACAAGTGGGTTTATCATTTTCCTATTTTTTTTTCTCCATTAGACAGAAGAATAGTTGGTCACATGGTAGAGTCATTGATGTGCTTCCAGACACATCTATTAAAGCATGTTAGTGACAGCTAGGACTGCCAAAGAGATTTGATTGGATGTCCATTGCACGGACATGGTTTGGCTCTACTCTCTCAGATATTCCTTTCTATCTTCTGAACATATCAAACATTTGCTGTGCAGCTCATGGACTCATAGAATTTAATAAACCTTAAATATTTATAGGTTTAACTTGTTGTCTTGTCACTATATATACGTGACCTTGGCTACCTTTCTTTCTACAACCTTATATCCTCTCCTCCTTCGCATTCTTCAGTAGTAGCAAAGTGTTCCAATTTTCGAAAGATGGCCGGAATAGCATTTGGGAGATGTGACGATTCTTTCAGTTTGGGGTCCGTGAAGGCCTACCTTGCTGAGTTCATCTCAACTTTGCTATTTGTTTTTGCAGGAGTTGGTTCAGCCATAGCTTACAGTAATTTGTTTGCACTAATTAGAGCTATTTTTTCTTATTTATTCTTTTTATCAACTGCATCATCAGCTAGCTAGCCTTTTAAACTATCAAAATGATACGACAAATTCACGAATAACTTGAGTTATGATTAAAATAGGCATGAGTTTGATTTCATCCAACGTGGTTGAAAAAAAAAATCCATTCTAAGTGATTTTTGCAAACAGTTTTTCTCAACTTGAACAACAGGCCCCTGTTTAACTTTTGTACTAAATAAATTAAAGGAGAACTAAAAAATAGAAATAAACAAAAGTATGCAAAAGCAGACAAAAAAAAAAAAAAAAAGTGGGCGAAAATCATTTATATGAACCCTAGCAGTTGATTTGTTGATTTTTCTATTTTAATGACTTGGGATTTCGTTTTGTGTGTACAGACAAGTTGACATCCGATGCTGCACTTGATCCTGCTGGGTTAGTGGCCATTGCCATTGCCCATGGCTTTGCTCTCTTTGTTGCAGTTTCAATTGGGGCCAACATCTCTGGAGGCCATGTAAACCCAGCTGTCACATTCGGATTGGCTCTTGGTGGACAAATCACCATCCTCACTGGCATCTTCTACTGGGCTGCCCAGCTTCTTGGTGCCATTGTTGCAGCCTTTATCCTCAAGTTCGTCACTGGAGGCTTGGTAAGATATTTTTCAACGTACCGAATGCAATGACAGTTTTGTCCATCTTAAACAAAGAATTCATGCACAAAACAAGGGACAATTATGTTATTTTGGTGTTATTAATTTAACAGAGAGTCTAGTATTATGGAGGTCAAGGCTTAATTGGTTGTGTTGACATTCGTGCTAGATCACTTACTTAGTATGGCAGTCAGAGTTTGGTTCTCCCCTTATTCATCTCTAGATGAAGAAACGGATTTAATTGGTTGTCAATAACTTTTCTAGTTTATGTAATGAACACTGCTAGAACACTAAAGTTACACAAACTAATGTTGATTGGTTCAAATCTAGTGCACTTTAAAATTTGTTTATAACAAGTGTATGGTAAGTAATCAATTTGATAAATCTAGTATCGCCGTTATTGTTTTGAAAAAGATAGTTGAACTCCAATTATAAAATATTTTGATAGTTTACATATACAAAGGTACATTGAATTGTTTAAATTTTTGTGGAATTTATGGCAACTTGCAACTACTATGAAATACATTTAATTTCAGACAATCCCCACCCACAGTCTAGCTGCCGGAGTTGGAGTCATTGAAGGAGTAGTCTTTGAGATCATCATCACCTTTGCATTGGTTTACACTGTCTATGCAACAGCAGCTGACCCCAAGAAGGGCTCATTGGGCACCATTGCCCCCATCGCCATTGGTTTCATAGTTGGGGCTAACATCTTGGCTGCAGGACCATTCTCCGGTGGATCAATGAACCCGGCCCGCTCTTTTGGTCCTGCCGTTGCTAGCGGTGACTTCCACAACAACTGGATCTACTGGGTTGGACCCCTCGTTGGTGGTGGACTTGCTGGCCTTGTTTATGGAAACCTATTTATGTACAGAGAACATGAACCCTTAGTAAGCGAGTACTGATTAATTTGATTGAGATTTGAGCATCGTTGCAAATGTCTTCCAATGTATCCTTTGTAATAACAGCAGGAGGAAGAGCAATTGTTTTTGTTCTTTACTTCTTTTTGTCTTCAAGTTTTCAATTATTTATTCTCACTTTCTCAGCTTGGAACCTCCATTTTCTTGTGCTGTTTGTAAAGCCCTTTTGTAGGTCACTTTTTCTTTGTGAAAAAATGAATGAAGTTGTTGAAGCACAGCTAATTTTTCTTAATTTTGGAGAAGGAGAAATTTCAGTAGATTCCTAACAATACAACTGATGAGCTTATGTGTACATATGCATATTGAGTTTATAGAAATGTATTGTTCGACTGAGGAACAAATGTTCTGTCAATACGGCTTGAGAGTATAAACATAATATCGAGGCATGTTCATTCTTTCTTGGCAATAGTTTCCTAAATTGAGATCTTTATCGGATTTCTTTATATCTAACACATATCAACGCATAATATAAATTGAGATCCATATATATATGTGTTTTTTTTTTGTTTGACACATGATCCAAGTTATGACAAAACTCAAATAAGTAGTTAACATGTTCCTATAGCAAATTAAAGCATTATTTACTGGGGACAAGTGGACAACAGCTATACTGAAGAAATAATTTTATCCTGTAATAACTAATTACACTGATGATGCATTTCCATTCAAATAAATTCTCTATAATTTTAAACTGGATTATTTTTTATTTTTTTATTTTTTTTGTTGAAATTTACAATGGTAGGCAAAAATGTCTTATGAAGACTGTGAATGGTCTACTAGGACTTCTTCGTATTTCCATTCATGTGCTTTCCATTCTGGCAGCTGTTGGACAACAACCTGAAATTAATCCAATCAGAAAACAATTACTAAAACATTTTGTCTTATTATTTGTTAAAACATGCATGTTTTATACACAAGCAATAGTCTAAACTACTTTAGTATACCGAAAGAAAGATCCGATTCCAAACTCAATGCAAGTGTACGAGCAGACTATCCTAGTATCCTAACTCATATTTGCAACTTTTTCAAAACATAAAAGAATAGTGAACGAGAGAAACCACAAACCAGCCCTCTGGAGTCAGGTTTCCCAACTGTGGTTTGGCAAGCAAGTCTCCAATTTTTTGGTTTCTGCAAGAATCCATTAATCAACAGGAATGTCAGCCTTTTTAAATCACCACCTCCCAAAATTACATTGGCTTAAGTTTAATTAATTAGTGATTTAAGTGATCTACTTAACTAGAAACAGTATGATACCTTTTTAAGATGTTCCTTTTCTTTGTCTGTGCGAGGGGTTAACAGCTCTTTTCCTTGAACAATCTAGCAGCAAAATAGAACAAAATTGAAACGAAAATTCTGTATTAATTAATAATAACAAGAAATTTATGCTCTCTCAGTGAGGCATATATTTGTTTAAAATTTTCAAATATATCACATGCTATATAAAAAAAGTAGGAGAATTAAAGAAATTGTAAAATTATCACCTCCACCATACATGTCCCGCAGGTTCCTCCTCCAGCACAATTCAACAGAACTCTACCCTGAACATTTACATACAACACAAACTTCATTATTTTTTTTTAAGAAAAAAAAAATTAATAAGAATAATAAGAATTAAGTGGGAGGCATACTTACGTATGGTCCATACAAATCGATATTTGAATCCAGCATTATATTCCTAAGTTTCTGCCCTCCACAGGCTTGACGAAGATGCACATCTGGTGTCTGGTCAGGAAGTAAAACCGACTGAAAACGAACAAAATACACAATTAAACAAAATACCCCAAAACAAAGTTTTAAGTGATGGGACTTCCTGCACAGAGAATTTCTATTGACATTTATATGTAGCTTACATTAACGAATGCGAAATCCACGGAAGGGGATTGCTGGGGTTGAACGGCTTCGGATTGGCTCTCTTGGGATGTGCTAATTGCTCTAATTTTTGCTCTGGAGAAACTGATGAGCGGCTTGGAAGGTCTGAGAGTTGAATGGGAGCTGGTAATGTTGGAGTTGATCAAGTTAAATGGGAGGAAGCAAAAAGATGAACCACAAGAGCTCAGTTGGAGAGTAACCATTTTTGATATATTTTGAATTGATAAAAGTTGTGGAGTGTTAATGCTGGTTGAATGAATTGGATGGATGATTTGTATCATTGTATGGGGTTTAGGTTGGTTTGTAGCATCATGTGTGGTGGATCATGCTAATTACCTTATCTGATCGAAATTTAAGTTGGGTTGGGGCGGACCAGCATGGACCAGAAGTCTAGACCCCAATTAAAATTGAAATTCACATTCTGACCCAACAAAAAAACAATTCACATTCTGACCCAGCAAAAAAAAAAAAAAAACTAGAAGTCTAGACCCCAATTAAAATTGAAATTCACATTCTTACCCAACAAAAAAAAATTCACATTCTGACCCAGCAAAAAAAAAGAAAAAGAAAAAACAAGCGCTAGAAGGAGGGTTCGAACCTCCGACCTTGTGGTTAACAGCCACACGCTCTAACCAGCTGAGCTATTCCAGCATGTTGACATCCGGTGTAAAGGAAGATTCTTTACATAAAAAGAAAAACCATCCGAGTACTACTAAAACCTGCAAAGAAGGCGTTCCTGGAAACCTGCCTAGGGACAATGAAAGAAAGAGAGGGTGAGATCCCAGAGAAGCAGGTCCCAGAAACCAGTTCTCCCACTCTTGATTCCAGGTCCCAGACCATCATCGATATTTTATGTTATTTTACTAGTGTTTTTAATATTTTAATATATTTTAGTTGAATAGACAGTAATGTTACTAATGTATGATGCAACTTTCCAGGTATGAAAACATGTCGAAGATAGAACTCGTGATATTCCTCCATCCATCCATCCCTCCCTCCCGCTATTGCTATTATTAAGAATCTGTCGTTTTATTCTTGTTTATATGATTTTCTATTTGATTTTTGTTTTCTAAATTTTTCAGGGTGGTGTGAGGGACAACACCATCGTCACCCATCACCGCCGGCGATAACACTACCACCATCATCCTGCCAATTTCTACCAAGTTTTGTACTGAATAAAGAGTTCCTGAAAACAAAAAAGTTTGTTTGCGTCTTAATTCTAGAAAGAAGTGTTTGGTCCTATAATTCTGTTCTTTCCTTTTCATTTTCAAGGTATTATTTTTCTTATTTATGGTCTAATAATTTGCCCATGCAAACTCATTGCAGAGACTAGGGACTAGAATAGATACTACATCTCCTTCGGTGTTGCTATTCTTTGACAAACAAAGATTTATATTTAATACTGCAGAGGTAAGTGTCAGGTACCGAGATAGTTGCATTAGGAACTCAATCATATACATTTACATCTGGTTAGTTTTGCAATATTAAATAAGGCGATGATTCTATCATTATCTCTATACAACAACAACAATAAAGCCTTTTCCCACTAAGTGGGGTCGACTATGTGAATCCTAGAACGCCATTGCGCTCGGTTTTGTGTCATGTCCTCCGTTAGATCCAAGTACTCTAAGTCTTTTCTTAGGGTCTCTTCCAAAGTTTTCCTTGGTCTTCCTCTACCCCTTTGGCCCTGAACCTCTGTCCCGTAGTCACATCTTCGAACTGGAGCGTCAGTAGGCCTTCTTTGCACATGTCCAACCCACTCATTCCTAATCTTATCCTTTCTCGTGAGCCCACACCTCCAACGAAGCATCATCATCTCCACTACCCCCATTTTGTGTACGTGTTGATGCTTCACCGCCCAACATTCTGTGCCATACAGCATCGCCGACCTTATCGTTGTCCTATAAAATTTTCCCTTGAGCTTCAATGGCATACGACGGTCACACAACACGCCGGATGCACTCTTCCACTTCATCCATCCCGCTTGTATTCCCTATATTCTGTCTTTGATCGGCTTAGGCGAAAACTTTTAGATTCCAACACTTATCTCCAAAGGTTAAGCTTCGCATTTACCCCTTCCTGAGTTTCATCTATCAACCCTATATCGTCTGCGAAAAGCATACACCAAGGAATAACATCTTGAATATGTCTTGTTAACTCATCCATTACCAATGCAAAAAGGTAAGGACTTAAGGATTGTTGATGCACAAAATCAGTGAGGACTTTGGTACAACAGAAAGTATTAAGTTTGTGACCTTCGCTAGATTGCTCCGGTCATTAGTGTGAATAAGTATGTATATTGATAGAGACAGGAGAGCAAACACAAGATGTACGTGGTTCACCCAGATTGACTATGTCAACGGAATAGAGGAGTTCTCATTAATTGTGAAGGGTTTACACAAGTACATAGGTTCAAGCTCTCATTTAGTGGGTACAAGTGAATGATTTAGTACAAATGACTTTAGGAAATATTTTGGGAGAATGATCTCCTTTTATAGAAGAGAGTTTCTATCATTATCTCTATAAAATAGTAATTACAAATCAATGATAAACCCTTCTTGGAGTAAAGTATCTCTTACTATATAACTCTCACTGCAGGGTTTGCAAAGGTTCTGCACAGAACATATGATTAAGTTGTCAAAGGTATACGATATCTGAAATCGTTACCCATTTTCTGCTGTTGGAACTTGGAATAAATATATAAAGTGCTCTTCATCTTCATTCATGAGGCTCCTTCCTATTGTTGAGATGCCTTATTGATGTTCGTGAAGCTTTTTTAGCTTGATCACATTTTTTTCTCTCACGTCTGCTCAAAGACTGCAGGTAGACTTATAGGTTTATTTCTTGATAGATTAACTATTATGTTGCACACTTGCACTTGTTGTTAAAGATTGTTTATTTTGTTTTCTATTATCACCAGTAACATGTTTAGTAAGTCTGTGATGAAGTTTTTAAGCATTATTATTGTGCTTTCAGTATCTGCACTGGTTATTCAAGAGGTTGTTCTCGCCGATCCTGAATTGCTCAACTTTTACTTGACCACACTGGTTTGCTGTTAACTTTGGCTGGCATGGGTGAAGAAGGAACGTCTGTGAGTATCAGATTGACTTCCTATTCATTGTCTTCCTTTCATTTAGATCCAATCTTCTTCATATGAGCTTAAATCGCATTTTCTGTTGTTTTGAAGGTTCAATGTACGAGGTCCGTTAGGTCTCAAGTATTTGGTTGATGCCACATGAGTTGTTTCATCCTAAATGCTGCCATGGTTCACACTCGGAGCTTTGAGCCGACACTCGGTTCTGTGGGAGGTTCTATTGATGATCAAACTAAGTTTAATTAAAGAGCCGATTGTTCTTGTTGATGATGAGATTGTCAAAATATAAGCCATTCTTCTACTTCCAAATTTCTCAAATGGGACTATGCTCCCAAATGAATGAGTAATGTTTTATTACGTGGAATGGACTCATGACAACTTGTTCTCTCAGAATATATAGAAGTTTCTAGCATTAGTAAATATATGATGATATCATGTTAGTTTTCTTCGATTGTTTTATCACACTTTTGGCATTTAAAAGGTATAAAATTATAAATACATGGTAAGGCCTTACACAGTGACACGCCCGACCCTGATATTCTCCAAACACTAGGGTAGGCATGTGCTGGCCGACACCTGAAGGTGACGAAGCCATATTAGGATGCATGAGAACTAGAAACAATTAACCGACATAACTAAAACTTGTAAATTTAATTATAAAGAATATGCATTTATGGAACGTGTTCAGAGCATACAACTAATCCGAGATATAAAAAAAATAATAATATAAAATTGAATGAACAAAGAGATGGGTCCTACACCGAGAGGACTCGAAGATGCCGATGCGGGAGTGCATTAATGCTATAATTGTACGCCTCGAATCTAAGTCCTGAGGGGGTGCAAAACAAAACATGAGTGGACCAAGTTGATATATAAGTAATACTAAAACAGCTAATCTTTAACGTCCTAACCCCCAGGTTTAGAAAACTTGTATAGCATAATAAGTAATAGGTTTTTCTGAAAACCCTAGCATTCAATAAAACCTTTCATAAAACATATATCGTATATAGGTTGCTTAGTAGTGGTAGCACAATATATATATACACACACACCAATATAAACATCTTCGGCTGGTAGGCACCAACCAAACGCCCTGTCGTAGCTAATATAAATATCTTCTGCCTGTAGGCACCAATTAAACGCCTAGTCGAAGCCAATATAAACATCAATTTCCCGTAGTCTCTTACACCATCTAACCGAAGCCAATATAAATATCAATCACCCATAGGCTCCTACAGCACCCGACCAAAGCCAATATAAAAGTATCATTCGCCCGTAGGCAAATCATTCACCCATAGGCAAAACATTCGCCTGTAGGCAAATCGTATGAATAACCACTACGTAAGTACATAAAAATATTAACATAATATTCCTAATATATATATATATATATATATATATATATATATATATCTTAATCGGAGTTCAGTAGCTAAAACGTCATATCGTAAAACCACGTTCATAAGTGGGTATATAGTCATCAATCATATATACAACAAAGAACATAAAGTCGATAAAGCATGATAATTCATAAAGCGTGAAACTAATTTACTCATAAACGTTTCATAAAACGTAGCCATTAAATCATGTTTTTTGTGTATGCATTTCTAATAGGCAAATCATGCATTTTAGAAGGGCTCCACTCACAGATATTTCATCGTCGAAGTGCCATGCAAACAAGAAAGGACAGAAACACCATACACAATTGCACCTAAGCACATAAGGGTACCAATTAATAAAACTATAATAAAACGATTGAATTTCGGGAAATGGACGTCAAAAACAGATTCATGATGTCGAAAAACATAAGGGAGAACCTCGGGTACCCTTACGCACCGCCATGGGGCGATGGCCCAGATAGCCACACACCAATTTGGGTTGCCGGAAAAGTCACCAGTGTCACCGTGAACGACGGCAAAGCATAGTACCTCCGGTGGAGGAACGTGTGCTCCACACGCCGGCCAAGGCAGATGTCCACGCTTCTGGGTTTGGGCTGGTTCAGTTTTGGGTTTTGAGCTTGGGTTATTTAGGTCTGGGCCTAGAGTTTGGGCTGGGTTCCATGGCCCAAAGGCCTGGTTTAGGTTTTAGGGTTAATGGCTTTGGGCTTTGGGCTACTAGGTCGGGTCGACCCGATTTTCAGACCAGTTCTCACGAAGATGAAAGTCGGAACTTCCTAAGCTCTAGTCAACCTTGATTCTCTACCAAAACATAAGAACTACCCACCAAATTGAAGACAAATAAG